TATATTGGTATCAGTTCTATTATTAGCTATCATTATTAACCTCTTTCTGTGCCAATTTTATAAGTTAAGCTTTGTCAGAGGTACATGTATTATAGGAAAAAATAAAGCAGGTCGTGTGTGATTCAGTACCTTTCCTGGTCTTGGCATGAGTCTCCTCTGACTAATGCAGGATGACAGACTTCTTATTAGAAAGAGGAAAATCTAGAGGAAGAAAGAAAAAAATGAGGCTGGATTTCATTTTTATGCTTTTCATTCAGTATTTTTTTAAAGTAAATAACATTTGCCTGAAACTAAAGGTGAGATTTAAGTAGGAATAGCCCTTGGATTTTTTTCTGAGGATTACAGGCATATGGAAAGCAAGACCACAAGTAACTGATCACCCAGTATATTTTAGTAAAGTCTCAAACTGCGGCCATATCACAGAAGGAAAAGGAAGAGGCAAGAAGGAGAAGATCCTGGCATGAGGTGCCCCTTGGCCCAGCTTCCAATGAACGCCAGCTTGGAAGCCAAGGCAGGCCATGCCAGGCCCCCAAAGGACTCCCTGTGTCTTTCTAAATGGCGAGAGCTCATGTCTGCTCCAATGCAATGGCTCGCCCTTTGGAGTATGACAGTTACCTTTGGAGAGAAGACCAGGAATGAATCAGCTTTTTCTGGGGCCAACATGAAGACATTACTTACCCTGGGCTGGGGATATAGCTCATTGGCCTCAGTGCCTGCCTGGCAAGAACAAGATCCTGAGTTTGATTCCTGATACAAAAAAAAAAAAAAAAAATCTTAGAAATTACTTACCTAGATTCCTGTGGTGTGCTCATGAAGAGGGTGGCTTTGTTTTCTTGACCCAAGCAGCAGCACTACCAGTACCTTCTTCTTTACACAGGAGTTGGCGAGGAAAGCCCCAAGACCGTGTTTCTTATTCTTTGAAAGATAAATATGGTGGCAGGCCCAGTGCAGCCCTGAAAAAATGGTGAGGTCCAGATCAGGCACAAGATTTTCTTTTCTGTTTCCCTGACTCCATTTTCCAATTCCAAGCCTGCCTTTCTATTGCAAGAGATGGTTCTACCACACTGACTCCCCATGTGGCTGGGTTCTGTTGTTTCTCTGTCTTTGGTTCCATAACTCTCATTTGTTCTAGGATGACTGACATTTTGACCAGCGACTTTGACGTACTGAACCTTCAATTCAGTATGTGCAGGGTAGAACACAATAATTTGCACATCTACCTAGTTCCCATGGGCTACCATGAAGTCTCAAAATGCTGCTGCTGTAGTGGAAATGTGCCCATAGATGATAATGTAAATAGATGTAAACTCAAATCTGGTTTTCAATAAAACTTTATTTAGAGAAGCAAACATGTCAAACTTAGACATTCACATAAATAATTATATCGAAGTCTACTTACTTGATTAAAAGGTTGTAAGATTCAGTACCAGAAAAATTAATTAGTTGATACTAGAAAATCCAGAGTATATATGTCAATGTGTTGAGCATTTGGTCATAAAGTACAATTTATAGTATAAAGCCTATACTTTTCTCTAGCATACTAAAAATAAAGCTCCTTGTAAGTTTTCTAACAAAGCCTATGTCCCACTTTATTTTTTATTTTATGCTTTGGGGTGAATTTTAGTGAAGGGTCTACAGGGTGTTCAAGGTCTCACTATTAGATCACACTTGTAGTGATCCAATTGTTTACAGCCTCCCAAGAGCTGAGATTATGGAGCGCGCCACCACGCCCAGTCTCAATTGCTGTCTCAGCACGCCCTGGGGACGGGGCTAGCGTGGTAGGCCTGGAGATCAAGCCCTCAGCCCATGCACCTGCTTTGAGATGCTTTAAACCGCTGAGCTATTTGGCCAACCCTGTCCCAGTTTTTAAGATTCAGAGACATTAGACATTGCAGTACTTATTAATTGCTCATAGTCTAACTTACAGTGACAGAACTGAACAGAAACTTTTAGCTTTTGAGGCAGAAGTCTGCTTCGATGTCTTTGACTTCAAAGTGATGCCCTCGATGGATGGAAGTCAAACTCCCAAGAAGCCTTGTACAGCAGGACATCTCACTCAGCATCCACCGTCTCCTCTCTCTAAAGTGTGTGTCTGCTGTGACTGTGTTATGTGAGTTGACGGTTTATAACCACATTTACAGTGAGTTAATGGAGTCACCTGTGACACTTTCATTATTAAAAATGACTTTCTTGATAGTTACCCTGTAACTCAAAGCCAGAGTGAGCATAACCATTGTTCTGAGACACGTCAGGGGCTAAGAGAGTGCTATTCATCATTTTGTGTAATTGAGAATTGTGTAGATGGGAAATTGCCTTCCTTTTTACTAACCCTGAAGCCAACTCATTTATTCTTATTCATTCTTTTAATCAACCTGTAAGAAGAAATCACACATTTTGGTGGGTCTTGCAGCGAGAACATTAGCTTCTGCTGAATGAATTCATGCATGCACTGCTGCTGCTGCTGCTCATGGACCGGGTGATGTTGGTTCTTAAGGCCTAGTCCCTTTATACTTGGGGCAAATGGTACAGTGCTGTAGAAATCTGGGTTCATTTTGCAGATTGCAGCTTTCCCTGACTTTCTTAGCTTCTTTGGATTCAAAATAAACTTGAGGTGCTCATTTGGGGCCATGGTTACAGAAAATATATTAATAAATTAAACTAATGATATGAGTTGTAAACCACAAACTTATCAATGAAAGATTCCTGGGTTTGGACAGTTGGATTCTCTGTACATTCTCTCTCTCTCTCTCTCTCTCTCTCTCTCTCTCTCTCTCTCTCTCAGCGTGCACACATAAATCCTTATGGAACATGTTTATTTCCAGTCTTCCTGTGGAGTACATCTAATGCATCCATTTTGGGGGAAAGCAATTTTTCAGCATATTAATTTATTACATGTATAACTAGCATTTCTTTTATATTTTCTATAAAGAGTGTAACGCTTTTAAAAGTTTCTACTTTAGCTGACACTACATTTATCTCAGCAAACTCTGACTGACTCAGCATTGTCATGGATGAAGTAGGTGAAGACCCTGAGGGTAGGTGACATCTCTCTATTCAGTGTCACTAAACCATGAAGGGGGGAAGTCTACGATGACAGGGAACATTTAGAGAACACTGTGGCAGATCAGAAAGATGAGCTGTATCCAACAAGGTGAAACCCAGCAGGGACAAACCTCAAGTAATATATTCACTGGCCCTATACAACCAAGTGCACAAAATGGAATGGGGCTTAATGAGGTCTTACTCTTCATTAAGCTCAATATAAGCCAACACTGTGGCATAACCAAAGTAAGAAAGTAAATACTGAAATCAAGCTGCATTAGAGAAAGCGCAGCACTTAAAGCACAGTGGCATGAGTCACAGGCAGCTCTGCTGCTGAAAATACATTTAGTTATAGTAAGTATAAACAAATTAGTGTAATGTATGACACAGAATGAGTGTTTGCTTTGCAGTAGATAGTGAAGGTACACATGTCAACAGGAAGTACTCAATTCTGTGAAAGGTGAACGCTGCAATGACAGAGAAAGGAAAAAGCATTGGGATTTGGTCAAGAAATTGGAAACATTTAACCCAGAGGTGAGACAACTTGGTGAATACAACAGAACTCCTCTAAGAACTGAAGAGTGGGAATCTGATAGACCCTCATAGAAGGGACCAGGAGACGTATGAGTATCCAGGGTATGAGACAAGAATAATGGACAGATAGCAATACATCTAGTATTGAGACATGTCCAAAGAAGCACATTTGAAATGCTTCCCAGAGAGGTAAGTTCTTTAAGACTGGAGAGCTGTAAGCACAGGCTTGGTGCCTTTTATATGCTGTCGCCACGGAGAAAATTGGCTATATTCTAAGGTATTCTCCAGCCCCAAGGTTTTGATTTTTAGTTTTTTAATATTTATCAAAATAATCACAACCCTAAATGGTGGCTGCAGACCTTATCTTGTATTTAACTTTCTTCATTGTCTGAGGTGGGAAGTTGCTGTGAGACAGTCCAAAAAAGAGGCACGCTGGAAAACATTCAGTCTTTATGGTCAAGTGCTGCTGGCTTTCATTGCTTTCTATCTGTGAGTCCTCAGGAGCCAGCACTCTAGGAAGTATATTGTGTCTGTATGTTAGCGAACTGCTACAGGAGGAAAGGTGGCACCTACTTATGATCTCGTCAAACGAACAACCTGTCATGTGGAAGAGAAGCTTTTTTCAAAACGTAGGATCTGGTTCTGATGGTCAGAGTTACTGGTACATGTGAGCCCTTGGTTAGGTCATTTAGCCTTTCTGAGCCTCAGCTAACTCTTTGTTTTTTTTTTTTTTTTTTTTTTTTTTGCAGAACCAGGGGTTGAACTCAGGCCCTTGCACTTGCCAGGGAAGTGCTTATTCCACTGAGCCATCTCTCCAACCTCAAAACTATTTTTTTTTTTGGCAGAACGGGGGATTAAACTCAGACCCTTGTGCTTGCCAGGAAAGTGCTTATTCTACTAAGCCATCTCCCCAGCCCTACTGAACCATCTCCCCAGCCCTAGCTCTTCTGTAAAAAGAGCAAAAACAGATTTCCTTATTCCTTTTTTGCTAGGAATAAAATTAAATGACTGCATGTGAACCTGTTCAGTGATATTGTTATAACCCCACAAAAAAAGTTAGGAGCATGATTCTTCATTAACACATAACATTTTATCTACCTAGTTTACATGTAACATTTTATCTACCTAGGTTAGGTATAATTCTTACTCAGAAGTATGATTGTTAAGGAAATAACAATTTTGTTTTCAAGGAACCTTTTGTCAAGCTATTAATGACTACATTCTGACTTGAATGACTTTGTAGGCAAAGCTAGGGAGAGGATGTGTTCGCAGGAGGATGCCAGCAGGCATTTGTTCTGACGATGTCAAATACTAAGAAATCTTTCCTACATGCGCTGTAAAGAATGTACATGGTGTGGTCCTCCTAGTACAGCTCCCCCATTATTTCTTCATTGATGATGTTAGTTAATTTCATTCCTAAACAGGATGGGAAGACATTCTGCCGACGGACAGCTTGTGATTGTCTGAATCCAAGCGTTGACCTTTTCTGTTGCCCAGAGTGTGACACCAGGGTCACAAGTCAATGTTTAGATCAAAATGGACACAAACTCTATCGAAGTGGAGACAACTGGACCCACAGCTGCCAGCAGTGTCGATGTCTGGTATGTCAGCTTCCTGTGGCTGTGCTGTCCTTTTGCTTTGGAAGAGGCAGCAGGACTATCTGCCTGTGGGCTGTGGTTCCCAGCTGTTTGTAGTACATGCAGACAGCTGTGGGGCTGTGGCTCTCTAAGGGGCATGTTTTCTACCTAGAGAAATGCAGATGTGTGCACATCCTAAAGAACACATAAATGGAACAGGTTTGGCTCCAGCAATGTCAGTTTACAGCTGTTACTTTTGAGAAAGTCCAGATTTCCAAAAATATACTGTAAGAAAGATTCATTCAAAGCTTTGACAGGTACTTACAGTCCTTAGAGAGCCAAGTCCTTTATGTACTGTGATATAATCATTAAAGCTCTCAATACAAGAGGCAACAAACCAGAGTAGAAATGCCAGAAATTGAGAGATACAGAAGAAGAATCCAATCTTCTTTCTTCCATGTGTTTGATTATCTTGGTCAAATCCCAGCCTTCACTTGGTCTTCCTTCCCTGAAAACATATACAGGGACCCATGGAATTAACTGTTTTATGAGGCTATTAAAAATAATAGAGAAGGCATGTGAAGGACAATACAGTACTTTATACATAGAAGGTGGTTGGTGCACAATTGGTGTTATTGCTTCTATTTCTTATGTTTTAGATGCTAAATGTTCATATAGAAAAAAATGAAGGTTATTTTAGATATTAATGCAGGTATTCTCATAGCAAAGAAAATTTGAGATACTCTTGAGAAAAGACTTAATTTCTAGTTCATTGTATTCCAGTGAGAGAGAGAGAGTGAGAGAGAGAGAGAGAGAGAGAGAGACAGAGACAGAGACAGAGACAGAGACAGAGACACAAAGAGAGATTTCAAAGGAGGAGACTATTTTTAGGATACCATATCATAGTAAATGTGATTTCTCACTAGTGACAAATTTGGAGCTTTCCATCTGAATAATGGAAATTTAAGTTGAGTGTTTAACTTTTGTTGAAATGAATTATTGAGTCTATAAGTACTATATAAAACCAAATTCAGAGAAATTGTCCAGGTGTTGCTCAGAGTTTCCAAAACCTCTGGGCAAGTGTTCAGATCTTAAAGAATGTATATTCTCAATGCTTCCTAATACCAAGGATGACAACTCAGAGATTAGAATAACAGATATTTGTTTTTAAATTCATAAACAATGGCCAATATATCTATCCAGCTAGGCACAGAGGGCACACTTGTAATTCCATTAGTCTGGTAGGCTGGAATCTGAGTGTAAGCCTAGCCTGGGTAACTTAGTAAGACTCAGCCTCAAAATTTTAGAAATTTTTAAAAGGGCTAAAGACCTAACTCAGTACAGAGGCTGTGGGTTTAATCTCCAACATCACGATAATTATCCAATACAGATATATTTTTGGTTTTCACCCTAGTCTGCAAGACTACATTTCTTTCCTAACAAGTGATTCCTGAGATAGCCAGAAGAATTCAGATTAATCTTACTCACTGCATACATTTTCATATCCGTAGTTTCAAAAGTGTGTCTTCCATTCCTGCTCTCCAAAGTGAATGTGTTTGGAAGAGCTGAAATGACAAACCATGACTTAAAGTTCCCTAGAGAATACCATGGACCATATTTCATAAATATTTACCAAGCGTTTGCCTGTGCCAGGCTTTGGTTGACATAACAGTGAGCAATCGATGCCAACTGTCTCTGGCAAAGCCCATTGTCTTTTGAAGCTGACTGAAAGGTTAACTGTGGATTCCTATACATTGTAAGGGGCATCTCCATGGCAGAACTGGCTGAACAGAGAAGCATCCTAGCCTGGCCTAACCAGTGGAGCCACAGCTGCCAGGTGCTGAGACATGTAGGAGTTCCATTTAAGTTTTATTGCTGAAATTTCATTAGTCACACATTACACTTCAAAAATTCTGAAATCATTTTTTTCTGAAAATGTCTAACTTCAAATTTGATACTAGCCACTTAAGAGGTTGTTGAAATAATATATTGTTTTGGGTTCTGATTTTGACCTCAGTCAAAATAAATAACTCCTTATAACTATCAAATATCTCATCAGCTTTTTATTTATTCATTCTAATAAGAATGTATACTGGTCAAAACTGTACTAAGTATCAGAAAACTGGCTTAAATCTTGAAACAATGTGTATTTGGGGTGATAGGCAGCATCCAGTTATAAACATCATGATAAGAAGAATGGCAGGCCAGGCTTGGAACACAGAGAAGCTGACCTAACTCTATGGAGTATAAAATAGGTGATCAGCAAAATCATCCAGAGGAAGACAATCTTTTGGATTTCTCCAAGGAGAAAGTGTTTCTAGTCAGCACCCATAATGGTACTAGCTAGAAATATTCAACGAGATGAGCAAATTCTGCACTCCCTTCCCCTTTCGGGATGTGAGTGACCTTGCCTTATGAATGGTGATGAGTTATGTTGAGCTTTCTTTTGCAGGAAGGAGAAGTAGATTGCTGGCCATTCACATGCCCCAATTTGAGCTGCGAGTACACAGCTCTCTTGGAAGGGGAGTGTTGTCCCCGCTGTGTCAGTGACCCCTGTCTGGCTGATAACATCGCCTATGACATCAGAAAAACTTGCCTGGACAGCTCTGGTATTTCGAGGTTGAGCGGAGCACTGTGGACAATGGCTGGCTCACCCTGCACAACTTGTAAATGCAAGGTAATTGGGTGTCTTGAGGATAGTCGGCCCTTGAACAAGTAGCAGACAAAAGTTGCCGGAGGTTCCCTCCTGATGCTTCTGAACACACAGGCTCCACGGATCCAGTGGAAATAGGAAGGCATTTATTTCTAGTCGGAGGTTAACAGATCTCAATGGATCATAGCTTCACCTTGTAAGAAGACACATTCTAGGGGGCTGGGGAGATGGCTCAATAGGATAAGTGCTTGACTGGCAAACACAAGGATCTGAGTTCAATCCCCGGTTCCACCAAAAAAAAAAAGAAGACACATTCTAAATAAACAAAGATTCATTACAAGCAGTCTGAGCCATCCCCCCTCCCAGCCTTTAAACTATGAAAGTATAGAACTTTATCAATTGACTGTGAGCCACTATATAGCTGATTTGAGATATTTTTACCTGAAAATTGGGGAAAAAAAGAATGAAAGGAAAAAGATTACCTTCCCTTCATCTGGAAAATGTTATTGTATAAGGTTTGCATGAAACTATCAATAGTAAAAAGGAAGCGTGTTTGGTGAAATCGTTGGTTTTGTTTAATTATCAGGGTACCTAATAGGAGGCCTATAGCATGCTCTACCCCATTTGGTTGTGATTATTTCCTACATTTTTTGGAGGAATTCCCACAAAATGTCCTCAAATATCCTTAAGATTATGAAAGTGACCCTTCATTCCTTCCGACTCGTGAAGACCTATGACTCGAACCAATACAGAGCAATGGTTTGTCCGTGTCAAAATCTCTAGCAAAACATCTGTTTCAGATTCCCATGATTAAGCAAGATAAAAATACTTGCCTACTGGGTCTCATCAAAGCCTAGCTCAGCTTCAGGCATCAGTGGAGGGTGCTCAACTTGCCTTTCAATGCTGATATTAAGGTTGATAGTTTTGTCTTTCCTCGAAAGTACTGTCCTAAAATACAGCTTCAATAGAAAAAGGATAATATTAGACCTCATCTACTAAAAATCCAAGCTCCCAGTGAACCTTTACCCACAGGACACTAAATGACTAGGAGGTATGGAGGCATGTGTTACGTAGCATTAATTTTTTAAAATCAGGCTTACGATTCATCATAGGGAAGCTGATGGCATACTTCATTAATACATAAAATGAATTTTAATGAATTCCCAGGCAAATGTGCATCAAAATATGTATTGTCTCCTTGCAAGCCCTCATCTAAAATATTGTATACATGCTTGACATGCATGTTTCTGGAACTATCTTGGATTTGCCTTCAGATTCTGTTCATACTTCTGATTAGAATTTTTTTTTTTCTTTTAGTGGCACATTGTCTCTTTCAGATAGTCATTTTAGGAAAGCCTCTCATTTGGATTAAGTCTAGCATAGAAATTGTGTGAAGAACTGTATTGCTGCGGGGATGGCCCAGACCTTCGCTGATGGCAGGCAGGCATAGAATAAGAATGAGCCTGGGCAGTCCACTGGGGCTTGGTCTCCTCTGCTCCTGGTCTGGCACTTTTCACAATTTTCCTAGCTATTTCTTCTGTGGTCATTTCTTGTTTGAAAAGGCTGAAAGCATTTGGAAGGGCAAGATTGCACGTCACTCATTGACCTCATTCTGCACCTCGGTGGCTGACTCTTATGTCCTTGTCGTACAGAATGGGAGAGTCTGCTGCTCTGTGGATCTGGAGTGTCTTCAGAATAATAACTGAAATGCTCAGAGTGGAGTCATCATAGGAGAATAATGGACAAAACGGCCATGCGACACGACGAAGCACAGAAGCTGATTTCTTTTTAATCACAGACAATTACCAAAGTCTCCATCCTAGGAGGGTGTTTGGGGATTGCCTCTGGGGCCGACCACTTCGCTCATTCCTGCTAGCCTAGCCCAGGTGACCTACAGTGCAGTGCATTTGAGTCTACGGTTGTTAAAAGAAGTTCCCCGTGTTGTCAATCATGTTTCCCTCACCGGGTCATCTGCAAAGACATTTAAATGGTCTCATGGTAAATGTTGATGTATATTTTTTTTGGTTGATTTTGTGTACCAGCATTAATAGAGACTCAGTGCCACTTATAATTTATTTATTTTTCTTCATTTCTGGATCAAATTCTAAAAATAAAATTGCCTATGGTGATTCTGTCCCATCCACTGCATACTTAATATTGAGATGCTTGTGAAATGAACTGATGAGAAATACGTATGTAGAGTCCCATCTCAGAGAACTTGTTGCCCACCCACATGTTGAACATAAACTTAGATGGCCACTGGGTTGATTTATACTGAAGGCAATTATGCTATATTAAAGGGAGGCAGGACAGAAGTGCAAATAAGTATTGGAAAAGGGCTCTCTCCTTCCTCTTGCAAAAATGAAATATAAAAGAAAAACAAAACTGTAACCCACCATGTAGAAGCAGCAATGCATACAACTCTTCCTAGCTACAACAGCAAAATTATCTTTATATTAATTTTAATAGTATTCAATAATGAACAAAGTACTTTAATAGCAAAATTATCATAATAGTGGTGAATAGTATTATTGACCCTTTAATACAGAAACATGAATTAAAGGGTCTGGCAAACCAAATGCTTTAAAGCTACTTGATTTAGGATACATCAGGCTTGGTAACCAAGGCTTCTAATTGGTGTCCAGGGTGTTCGCTACCAAACCCCATTGCCTGTCTGTGAATGAAGGGGCCTGTGGGAAAATCTCTGTGTTCAGCAGTTACTTGGAACACTGAATGAGCCTACTTGATCCGCTGCAATATTTTTAAGAACTGACAGGTATTAAGTTATACAAAATGAATAAAATGTGTAAATGACATTTTGTCTGCCCTGAGGATTCAACCTCTGCTACTTTCAGATAAATCACTTTATTTGGAATCAGATTAGTTCATGGATTTTCACCCACTCCCCCAACATCAGAGACACCTAAGTTGTGATGCGAGTCATGCTAAAAATGATACTTAACAGCTAATTAGAACTTTTAGTTTAAAATTATAAAGTTTATTGTCATTATTTATTGATATTTGTCCAATGGAGGTGATAATTGAAATCTTTTGTAAAAATGGATTTCACTACATGAAATCAATTTCATGTGATGAATTACAATAAAAGCAGATGAAATGCTACACTTGACAAAGATGGATACAATATGTTAAATTAAAGCACATATCTATTGTGATTCCTTAAATGAAATGTTAAGGTGAAGAATTTTTAAATTAATCTTTTGAAAATATTTATAAAAGGTCATTTAAAAAGAAATCTTTCACTTTTTGTTGAAACATTTTGTTGGAACCAGGTACATTCACAAAAACTGCAATTATATCTGTCTGTGATTGCTGAATTATGGCCCTGGTGTCAAGTCCAGATCTTTCCCTGTTTAATTGGTGTACATAGGGTTATTCATCTGCCTACTGCCCACAGTGATGGATAGAATGACAGGACAGTGGTTTCCACAGATAACATGTAGCTTATAAAAGCCTCAAAATATTACTATCTTGCCTTCTAATGAAAAAGTTTGCCCATCTCTGATGCAGAGGATTACGGAATACTAATGTGTATTTTAGAAATGTTGCCACTTTTCCCAAGGCACTTTCAAAACTGATCAGTTTTGACATTGTGTATGCCACAATTTACTGTCCCGCTATTAGCTTTGATAGCTCATTGTAAAATATCCTTATTTTACAAATATGATCAAAAGACCCAATGTTTTCTTCTCTTTATTGACCTGATGGGTTATATTTAATCTGGGCTAACTTGATGACATAACTTTATTGCACTGAGTTGCACAATTAAAATAAAAGTAGCTCCTTAATAAGGGATATACTTTCTATAAAATAATGGATGACATTACGTTAAAGTATTATTAAATATTATTGAGTCAGGGGTGGTGGAGCACTTTATATATAAAGTACTACTGGGGAAATAAAAAAAGATGAATAAAACAGAATTTTGTTTGTTCTTGGTTTTGGTGCTGGGGATTGATCCCAGGGTTTCCTTGCTGAGGTACATCTTCCCCCATCCTTTTTATTTTGAGACAGGATCTCACTGAGTAACCAGGCTGGTCTTGCACTAGTGCTTCTCCTGCCCCAGCTGCCCAGGGTACTGAGGTTATAAGTGTGTGCCACACTGTCTAGATCCCAGCCTCATTTCAACAGTCACCATTATATGGGCCTTTAGGAGATACTAACATTTCTTGAACCCATTACGGGAGTGAGTCTACTGGAGTAGGACAGTGTCTGCCATAGCTCCTCCCACTAGAAAGTTTTAGGAAGAGTTAATTATGAAAAGCCTAGGAACTAGGAGCATAGCTTGGTGGGGGAGCACTTGCCTACAAAGTAGGAAGCCCTGGGCTCAGTTCTCAGGACTTCAGAAACAATCAATCCACAAAGATCTGCTACATATCCGATTCAGAGTGCTTTGCTGCTATGCCGTGATCAGAAGTGTAAAATGAGTCTGTTTAAAGAAAGCAAAGCAGTGGGTGACACATCTGTTGGCTTGAGACTACAACTGTGGTCAGCCGCACCATACCTATGAAGATCCTTACATACATTGGCAAGGAAAAGTTAAAAGAAATAAAGGATGGTAGCTACCCTCCTGTTACTTCTAGAATGAACTCATTATGAGTGGAAGAGTAGAATAAGGGCAGAAGCTGGATGTCTTACAGTGTTAACTAGATACATATCTATTAAACACAGATTCTGCTTCTTTGTTTCCTTCTAGGAAATATATATATATATATATATATATATATATATATATATGTTTCATATGATTTTTTAACATTCATGTGTAAGTTGCAATGCATATATTATATACATTCATATGCAAAATATATATTTCTTTTCCTGGAGCTTCACCTCCTCTAGATTTTATAGGTCTGCCCTTACATCATTGTTATGCATTGTATATATATATATTTTTTCTTTGTATTATTGTTATAGTAGACCACAGCTTAGATTGTAATTGAAATCTGCATGCTTTTCATCTGTTTGCTTACTGCATAGTGCCTTGCATAGAACAGGTTTTCTGTTATTTCTTTTAAACATTGAATTTGGTTTTTTTATAATATACAAAATGGGGTACTGGAAGAAATCCACTCTGGTTTTCAAATATTCTTAATGAGATCTGTTTTAAAAAGCAAAATGTATTTGGCGCTCCAATATGAAAATCGCATGAAGGCAGACTTTCTGTGCTTACTGTAGGGTTAAAAGCAGCAGGCTCTCCACACACCCCACCACAACCTCCAGCTTTCAGCAGAGCACAGTTTGAAAGCCACCGACCTAATGCTTCACCTTTACTTTCACGACTGAGGAAATCAGCATGCAGAGTGACTGCCCAGAGCTCACAGCTAATTAATCACAGGGCTAGAGCCACCACCCAACCCTGTGCTATCCTGCCGCGGTTCCAAATGTGTGTTCACATTTCTGTTTCAAGTGAGCTTTCCCTACCCCTTCTGAATGGATGACATTAAAGACAATCATGTATGCAATGGAGTATTTGGTATTATCTCTGTGTTCCCTGTCCCTCCTGACTGTGATTGGAATTTATGAACATTCTGAACATAGTTTGGAGAAACATTCAAATTGTAAGACCAGAAAGTATGTCTAAACCCACAATAGAAATGAGACATTTCTCAGTCTCCCACTCTCAGGCTTTACAGGAAGAAAACAGGAAAAATAATGCATAATCAACTACTTATGATTAACTCTCTCTCTCTCTCTCTCTCTCTCTCTCTCTCTCTCTCCTCTCTCTCTCTCTCTCTCTTTCTCATACACACACACACATCCCCCAGAATATAAGGACATGTGGGAGGCAAGCCCACACATACACTGTATTCTGATTTCATTTATTCACTCACCACTTATTCTTTCATTAGTTCAATGCCAGAGTGGCAGAATCTTCAGAACTGTATAGAAAGAAGTGAGACAAACCAGTCTTTGTGGCACTTGTAGCTTTATGTGTGAATGAAGTAGACTAGACAGTGATTATGTTGAAGGTCAGGAGTGGAGCTGAGGGCCAGTAAGCAAGGGGACAAATGATGTCAGGTGAACACGGCATCGGCAATGACCATCTTGTGAAGGCCGCAGCTCCATTGTCCTGGGATCAAAGCGTAGGCATTGAGGATGAAGCATTTATTTTTTCACTTTTCACCTACTCACACCTACTGGTGTGTGTGTGTGTGTGTGTGTGTGTGTGTGTATCTGTGCATTTAAGTTGTTTTCAATTAATCCATATTTAGTTAATCTGTATTAACTATAATCCATATTAGGAAGGCAGGAAACTGTTGTACCTACGAAGGATAGGAAAGAAAACATCATTGTCTTGTCAGATAGAAATGTAAGCTGGACATTGAACTATCACAGGGCAATGAATCAGAGATTAACTGATCTGTCTAGATATAAAGTCAAGAAACATTAAATAGTAGGTTAAATTTTTCAGCTTCTTCCCTGCCCTAACTTAATTTCCTAGTTCTTGCCCAGGGGAATCCTAATCAGTTTCATGGTTTACAACAGTGATTCACTTTGCATGATGGCTTTAATATAGAGAAAGACAAAAGCCTGAATAATCCAGGAATAATAAATAGCACTCCCTTGCTAACGGCAGCAGTAGAGTTGTAGCCTGGTCTCCAAGGAAGCACCCACCCTATAAAGCAGAGCTTTGGATAGAAATTATTCAAGTTACTAGAAAAATGATACCTGCATTCCTTGT